TTTAAGGATCGTTTTGCCTTGGACTCTGATTTAATTCTACATGATACTTGGAACGCTGACATGTGCTCAGCCCCTTGCCCCCAAATGACCTAAATTGGCTCCTGTCCACAGAGTAACAATGCGCTAAAAGCTCCAAAAAACCTCCAGTTGTGAGGAGATACGTTCTCCATCATCCTAACTCCTGGTCATGCTTGTGGTGGCTCACAAGAGCCAAGGACCAACAACATTCAAGACCCAGGTTTCACTGCAACGTGAAGAATTGCAGCATTTTTGAAACGTTGGGGTTACATAGTACTTAGGAATAGCTGAACCTTCTAACTATTGATCTGCAACAGGCATAGTCCTTACTCAGCTTTGCAGCTAGCTGGTGTGGGTGGAAATCTTAGGAATGGGAGAGAATCTCTGTTGCTGGGGCTTGATGGGTTATGAGGGGTCTCTAAAACTGGGTTTTCATTTGGTTCGCTACAGCCCAGGTGACATCTTCAATGCCACGTGCTTGGAGAATCAAGGTGTGCGCGTTAGTTGTGGAGTATATAATCGCTAGGTTATTGCTTCATTTACACAATTCAACACTGACATTTGCAGACCACACAAAGGTGCAGCTGCTGTGCACCTCTGTTTTGCCATTACCTAATACTACACCTGTACTCTGTTGAGGATAACTCTCACTAAACCGGATGGTTTATTTCCTAGTAGACGTGCGGGTAGAACTGGCATCAGCAAAACCTCGCAATCGATGGCACGCTGAGTGGTGGCGCAGAGCCAGGTCGGTGCCACAGTTCACCCAGATGGAAACCAGGAAGCCCCGAGTTCCAGTTCTGCCTTAGGCTCAAAGCCAGCTGGGTCATTGGGTCTCAGCCCAGGAAGAAGGCAAGGCAATCCACTTCCGAACCTGTTACTCACAACAGTGCAGGGACTTGTCTAGACAAGGAGAGTCAAAGCTGTCTCGGAGGGGGTGTGAGCAGATGCACACGCAAGCAAAAACTTCGAGCCGGGGCCAGCTTTTCAAGAAACACTGCCTCCAAAGGGCAGAAGCTGATGCCAGCGTGGCTTAATCTCCAGGAGTAAAAGACAAGCCCCAACTTGAAATCCCTCCGTTCACATTTACAAGGGAGTTTTGATTCTACTCTTGAGTTGCGTCCTGGGGTTAATACGCCAGGGGACGAGGTCACCGCCGGCTGTTCTGCCCCTGGGGCAGCAGCGTCACGCAACAACACATACTTTTAATAAAAGGTTGGGTTTGATGAGCAATGAATGTCCTCTGATCTTCAACTCGCTTCTGTACTTGTCGGTGTTTTGACTCAACGCTGAGCAATGCCGTTCAGTGAGGCTCATGGGGCAATTTTTTTTCCAAAAAGGGCAGCCAACGTGATAAGATAAATCCTTGTCGTCGTGGCATTTTCCTGGGGACAAACCCTCCTTTTCTGGTTGGGCAGGTTAAGCTTCCAGGACCGGCATTTAATCTGGTTAAAACCCCGGAAGAGGCTGCCAAGTCAGAGTGGGTAACGCTGACTACAGGCACCAACCCCCAATTGTGTTTCAATTTTTCCATTTTCATAGCATGTAATCACATGTCTACTATTACATAGTCAATATCGTGTTGTATTATTAATCACATCAATTCAACTTCCCATCAATGTCCAAAAGGGGGGGGGGGAAACCAGTTATTGGCTCTTCTGCTCTCCATAGACCATATTTATACCTTATCCGACACTTTCTTCCCCCTCTCTCCTTCCTTACTCCTC